AATCTTAGAAGCTCATGATTTGTACTACCAGTCATTGGGTTATTGTATAAAAGTTCGCTTATTTCATCATTATTTTCTTAGTAAATTTCATTTGAAATTGTATTACTATTAAATTGGCTTACCTAGCAGGTTGGTTAGATGTCATCACGACTAATTGGGTTTTGGGTCGTAACAAGTTGGTATCAGAGCTCTAGGTCATAAGTTATATGAGTCATGAGAGAATGTCTATTAGAGTCTTGCAGATCGGTATGATGACGTTTATACCTATCTTTGATAGGCTACTGGGCATTTAGGATAAACTTCCCATCTTTCTTTTTTTATTGTGCGGCATTGATTCAGCTTGAATCGTATCTCTTTCAATTTATTCCACTCACTCGTATACGCATGTGAGCGCTCAATATCAACTCTACATCGATGGCTTGTGGATTCTATTGATAAGGTACGAGATGTGTTTTTTGTGTTTTGGTGATGGGCCCGTCTGGAGTACTTGAGGCCCGATTTGGACCGCAACTTAGGCTCGATAGTTTCAGTTGTAATTTTGGACTTCTGTGCCAGTGGTGTCCCTCTGACTGGTACTGGTGGCTTGATGGGTGGTTGGATGACAATATGATGAGTAGGATGTGACTACGGGATGTGTTTATATGATTTGAATGTGACGGGAATAGTTTGATTGAGTGAAAAGTACTATTGGATGCTCAATTTCTATGGATGTGTCATACAATCTTGAGTTATGAAGGTTTTTGAGAGATTCTTTCATGTTATTTCATTTGTGGAACAAAGTAGATTTTCATGTCTTGTTGATGAGTAGACTCAGGAAGATCAAGTGATTGCGCAATAGCTATGGCTGTGAAAGGGTATAAAGAGATGTCAATTTGAGGTTAGGCAGGTGGGTTATCACCTACGAGGTAATCTACGTATGTGTGATCCTTATAATGTTGCGTGGAGGCTTTCTTTTCTACCATTGGGTATAGGTGTTGCGATTTGAGTTTGGATTGGTTGAGAAAGTTGACCCGACTATCACAAAGATGAATGCGAGCTTAGCAGATAATTTGAGGTATTATATGGTTTGTGTTACATGAGCTTATGAAGATTTAGTTGAATCTAACTGCGGTATTATAACACTAATAAAGTATGGGAATTGTGAGTTATCGAGTGTTTTGATCTATGGTTTTGAGCCAAATGGGGGAGTCTTCTATTGACGATTTGATCGCATGGTTACATGTTGTATTGGTTTCGGTCTGAGGCATACTTGTGGATCAGTTATGACTTGCAGAGGCTAGTTTTGAGGATGACTTAAGCAAGGTAATTTCTAGATGCATGGTATATTATACTTTATTGGTATATGGGAATCATGGAATGATTAAGTATTTATTCCTGAAGGATGTAGTGCGCATAGAGTAAGAATTTGCTCGGTTGCGTTAAGGCAGGGTTACTTCTTTGGGTGTTGTCGTGCTAATGAGGCACATGTCGTTCAGCCCATTTGGGCGGTGCAATTGAGATTTGAGCAGAGTGGATCACTCTTAAGAAGGTTCTAATAGATTCAAAATTTATATGTAGCAATTGAGAATTTTTCGGATTTGTATATGGCTAGAATCTGAGATTTACATTGGATGGTGTCGAGACTCGCGATATTTCTATATTATTATGGATTCTATATTTCAGTATCAAGAAGGTGAAGGAAACGACTTTAGATTCAAAAAAGGTCTCTTCAGAGTGGGTGTCTTGGTTATGGTATTTTAGGGTGTTTAAGAGGGAATACAATGGCTTATGGCCTTAGGGCGGAGTGGTTTTATGCTAGGATCTTTTGTGGTGAGCTTTGGGTAAGGATCATGGTATTCTGACAAGGAGAAGTGTCAACTTGAGGGTAATTCAGAAAGAACTCGGAGAAATAGGACAACTTGGTAGTAGGTTGGATTAGCACAGTAATGGATAGGATCGGTTCTTTTGGTTCTTATGATGAGGTGAGGCTTTACGGGTGTTTTGTGGCAATACTCTTAGATTTGGCGACCTACGTGGCTTGGTTGAGTTAGACGGATTCAGTTCTGATAGCTTGGTTATGTGCAAATAGATTTCAAAGTGTTCTCGATGGTTTCTACCACAGTTTGAGATGGATATTTCCTACCGGCATAAGGAGAATATTGCATATTGTGATTTTCTATTGGATGAGATCAAGTGAAAGGTTCCTGGCTAATTGGGTATGAAGTCTGCTTGTGAAAGGTTCCTAAGAAGGGTGTGTATTTCAAAAGGCGCACTGTGTTTTGACTTACGGACGCTTCATTGGCATTGTTGTACTTGCCTGGTTGATCGACTGCTGACGTTCAGATTTTGCTATGTGGCACAAAAGGATTATAGAAATATTTCTCAAGGGGATGATTATATATGAGATGTGTGTTAGCCATTCGAGTGGTGGAGTTGGGATCGACTATAGTGATTCATGTGTTCTATGTATTTGAAGATTGGGAGTTCTCCGAAGCAGATTGTTTCGGGGTTGCGAACTGTGAAGATATGGCTAAAGTTAGCTAGGTGGTGGTACGTGTTATGGTTAGATCATTGTGGACTTTTTGAGGGCTATTTATCCATTTGGAGATAACCAAAGCTGATTTGGGGGCTCATTGTTAGGCCTAATTAGGAAGTGTATTCTACACCAGGTCGGATAGGTTGACTCCGTACTACTATTGTTGAGGGATGTGCCATTTGGTTAGAATTGATCTTATTCGTATTTGATATGTTCTATGTGTTACTGTTCCATGCTATAATGGGTTGTGATATGTTGGTTACTTGCACATTAGATGCGTTTCTGTTTGGGCCATGTGGTGAAATTCGAGTGAGATGGTTATTGGGGTTTACATAATCCCTTAAAAAGATATATCTTGAAAATTGAGGTCACTCCATCAATTTCATAAACTCTCGGAATATGCACAAAGAGATCAAATATGAGATCTCCGAAATTCCATGAAACTCTTAGAATATTCATTAAGAGATCAAAGACATGTCAAATATGTCTTGCTTAAAGTCCCACATTCGAGAAATATGCCGTTAAGGCCCTCGAAACACGTAGAATAAATCGAAAGGAAGAATAAAGGGATAAACAGAGTTGTAACCTACAATATTTATCAATAAAATCATTTTTTCTTTATAGTTGTTTGTGATTGTAGTTTTATTTTTCTGCACAAATTTGTTACAGACAAATTGACACGGACAGTGGGACTGGTTCTGCCCTTCATCTCTTCCTCCTGCAAATTGAAAATTACAAGTTTCAAAATCAATCATTGTGTTGGTCTACACAAAGGGCAATGATGTTCCAAGCAAGGATGTCACTGCAACCGCACGTGTCGATCTCAATCATATTGACATTACTCGATGCTAGATCTGAATATTTCACCTTCTTGGAGATGGCAAAAAAGAGTAGATCACGGATGGTGACCGCAATCTTTGGGGACAATATCTCTTGTTCTCTATCTATAGTTCCTCATCAGAGCCACAAAATTGTAAGGATAAACACGCAAAGTGATCCTTCAACGAATCAACAAAATTGCGAGGGTATGTGCCAACACTGCAATTGAAATGCAAAGCTTCAAGAAGCAGCAATATAGAAGGAAAAGAGAAACACAAAAAGAAAAGCTTCATTTTCCACTTTTGGATGTGTTCCTGGTTGCACTTTTTACCAACAATGAACACTGAAATTAGTCTTCAACAAAGGTCTTGTATAGATCATTGAAGATGGTCATTTTCACAAAATTGGAAAAGTGGCAGTTCTCTTTCGTAATGTACAAGAATTTTTCTTTTTAGTGAAAAGGAAAATTCTAAGTTGACAAAAGTTACGATAAAGAATATTTGTTCATTCAAGACTAAATACATGATATGATCTTGAATTAGAATGAATACCATATATTGCAGTATTCAAATCAAGAGAGATCAATTCTATGCCAATTTGAAATCACGCAGTCAGAATCTTATTGGCTTAGTCCAGTATCCTTCTTTGGGACTCATGATTCAATAAGGAGATTGAAGTGAGTTCTCTAGTAAAAAACGTGGTCAAGCAAATTGTGACGTGCTAGGGAGCAGTTTAGTTACTTGATTAAATGTTTCAACTATTGAAATTATTTTGAGATCCGGGCCATCTTAAAAAGGAAACGACCAAGAAGAAGAAATATTATCTTTATTGGTACTTTAAGTTTGTCTTTAAGTTTCGGTAAGCCTACACCCCGATAAAACTTGAAGTAAGGGAAATTTGTAGATATCAAAATTTTAATGGATCAAGCAAACTTAAATTCAAGATACTACAAGAGGACTCTTACAATTTTAGGAGTCTGTTAGAGTTGCTTGGAGTCTACTCTCAAAAATCCCTAACTTTGAGGCTACTTTATCATAGCCCTAGGTCACTTATATAAAAAAGGTTTACATAATCCCTTAAAAAAAATCTCACAAATTGAGGCCATCTCAGAAGATCTCATAAATTCTCGGGATATTCACAAAGGGATCAAGGCATAAAATAATGTCGTAATCAATAGACATGCTTCTTAATCATCAAATACATTAAGGAGATGCATATCATCCTACATTCAAGAAATATGCTGCTAAGACCATCGAATTATGGATAACAAATCGGAGGAAAGAATCAAGAGATAAACAAAGTTGTAACCCATAATGTTTATCAACAAAAATCTTTTTTTCTTTATAGGTGTTTGTGATTGCAGTTATATTTTTCTCCACCAAATTTATTTGCAAATAAGGTAGCAAATAAGGTGATGAAATACAAAAAATTATATATACAAGATTCCAAGAATTAGCTAATTTTTGTTATAAGCTATTTATAAATAGACATAACTGGTAGGAGCCATTGAAAAAACTGAAAAGAGCATAATCTAAACAACCACGAGGCCCATTGCTCTAACAGGCCGGCCAAGCTGGAGCCTAGCCCAATTGAAATCTAAAACCCTATCAGCTTCCTATTTAAGTTGAAACCCTACTCTTCATTTCCTCTCTAGTTGGTAACGAAGAAGCGACCTCTACCAGCCGCAGCAGGAGAAGGGGAGTAGCAGCAGCATCGCCAGCAGCCATGGTAAATCAAAACGTTTGCCTACGATCTATTCCTTTGGTTTTTCCTGTCAAATTCGTTGTTAAGTTTTTGTATATGTGAATCTTTTGGTTATTGTAGGTGAAGTATTCGAGGGAACCCGACAACCCTACCAAGTGTGAGTACTGAACAAAATTTTGCTTACAAGTTTATATACAATGTGTTCATCTCTGTACATTCATGTTTTGGATTTTGCATTATTTATTCTTTCCTGAATTTAATTCGAGATTGGTTCGTGCTCTTACATCAGCCTGCAAAGCTAGGGGCGCTAGTCTCAGAGTTCACTTTAAGGTGCGTGATCTTTTTTTCATTTTAATTTGCTGCAGTTTTTTTTCCTTATGTGCATATTGGGTTATAAGAATTGGTAGTACCTTATTCCACAAAGATTAATTTCTATTTATCAAACGACAATAATTATTTAAAGACGGCGCTTTTCTTCACCCCACATTAAGCACAGTGTATGTTACCTAAATAAGGTATGCATATTCATGAACTAACACTTACAATGATTTATTCTTCTTTTTATTCCTCTTTTGGTTTATTCTGCACCTTAAGATTGATAATTTGAACTATTACTGTTATGGATTGGTAAAACATATACAAGTTTGGACTCTTTTTTGTCTTAGTGTCTGTCAAAATGTGTGAGCGCTGGTATGGATGAATATAAAATTTGCAAGTTCAATATCTGTCTTAAATTGTGTCGGCCCCAAGGTAAGAAGTGATTCATATGAAGAAAATACTTCTCCTTGATTGTAGAAGCATGTCTTTGTGTTTGCTATTGATATATGAATGAACTCTTAATCTGTTGCAAGTAGTGAATGCCAAACAAGCATGGTACTATATGATTGAATTTGGAAGAGAGAAGTTCTATTTGAGGTAGAAACATGTCTATGGCCTTGTGTACAAAATAATGTTTAAAGGCAGTTTTATGCCCTTTGCTTTACGAGGCTTCTTGAAACACTTGCTATTATGACCTCTTGGTCTCTGAGGTTTTCTTTTGCCAATATTTTGCTAGTTGCAAATTGTTTTAAGTACAAGAGGTTCATCTATCCACAGATCAGTTTGCTGTGACTTTGCACTTTTAAGTTTGTTTTTGTGTGCAGATGTTAGCTTAGTTTACCGCCCAACATACATTTTCAGATTCTCTAATGTGTAATATTAGAACTATTTCACTTCAGAATCTTATGTTGCATGTTTTAATCAGTATCTGCAAATATTTTGTTCACCGGAAGCAACAAAGCCTGGTTCTAGCAATCATTCATGACAACACAAATTGGTCTGTCTGCTCTTATTGTTTGGACTTTGGACCTGCGATTTATACTGGTCAGAGGTGGTTACCTGGGATTTTCATTCTTGTTTTTGCTTCGGCTATTTGTTACTGAGTCTTTGCCATTCTGGTTGACATTTAACTGCTTCGGTCTTTCAGATGTATTTAATATGAGCTTCCCTTCTTTTTATTGAACTTTGGCAAATAAGACTGATTTAGCAATATGCATTTGTAATTTTATTGAAGTCTTTATCAAAAAGAGGGGAAAAAAGAAAAAGTTAATGAGGTATTTGGTGTTAAATCCTAGGTCAAGCACTGACCTTGAGCTGAAGCATCTCTTCTGTAACATAGAGCGCCTTGATTGAAATTCAACTGAATACAGTTCACAAATACAACCTTTTCACCTTAAGTTGGACTTCTTTTTAACGTCTGAGATTTGTTGTTTGGTCTCTATTATCTACTACAGAACACACGAGAGACAGCCCATGCACTTAGGAAAATGCCTTTGGACAAGGCCAAGAGATATCTGGAAGATGTTCTTGCACACAAACAAGCCATTCCTTTCACACGCTTTTGTGGTGGGGTTGGTCGTACTGCTCAGGTAAAGCATCGCCATTCAAATGGTCAAGGACGCTGGCCAGTCAAATCTGCAAAGATTATTCTGGATTTACTCAAAAATGCTGAGAGTAATGCTGAGGTAATGGTTATGGTTTGTCTTTTCCTTAATTTTGTTCAGTTTTTTGTTTGTGGTACTTGCCCCTTAAGTGTATCATATTTTGTTTTTTCCCTAAACTAAGTTTGTTCTTTTGAACTCCTCTAGGTTAAAGGCTTGGATGTGGATTCACTTTTCATATCTCACATCCAAGTGAACCAAGCACAAAAACAGAGGCGCCGCACGTACCGAGCTCATGGAAGAATAAACCGTAAGAGCTCTTATTTCTTACTGGCTCTTCTTGTGTCTAGTCAATGATATCTTGATCCTATTGTGTTGACCCTTTGCAGCCTACATGTCTCACCCCTGCCATGTTGAGCTGACATTATCTGAAAAGGAAGAATCTGTCAAGAAGGAGGTAAACTATTCCATTGTTCGTCAGAGTTTGTTTTATTACTTGAATATGTTGTGTAATGTTCAACTGCATATAGCTTTTTTTTGTATATCTATTTAAAATTTCCAATGTCTTTGCCATGTAAGTCCCTAAGATGTGCCTAAACTTTTTCTTCCTGGTGCAGCCTGAGACACAGTTGGCTCCTAGAAAGGCGAAGGCATCCTCTTAATCCGGCAGTGACTCCAGGAATGCAGATGGTGGAATGTTTTCCGTGTCCTTGTAGTCTGTGTTATGAAAAACAATTTTGGCATTTTGAACCATGTTTGTCTTTCTCCAGAAATTTGTGGTACTGTTTAGCATATCCTTACTATTTTGAAACTTGAATTGAATATTTACCTTGTTGGTTTATTAGTGGCCGAGACCTTTAAATTTTGCCTTGGTTGATCACAAAGTCTTCCTGTGAACTTGCAATTGCATGGATATAATTACAGGTAGTTTTGACGCCATTGTTGTTTCATGGGTCAAAGCTAAAGAATAATTGATAATTCCCCGTGCTTTAGCAAGTCTGGGTGTTGGCTTTTCCCGTATTACTCTTTATGCGGCCTACGCTAATTAAATGTTTATGCTGATGGTCAATATAATGAATTTGCTGGCGAAATATGTGTTTGCTTTAATGTCAATTTGATGTATTTTAATCAAAGTTATTTTCCACACATATTCGTATGTAAAGATCCTTGGAAACTCTACCTTCTCAAGGTTGGGTTAAGGTTGCATACATTTACCCTTCCTGAAATTCACTTGTGGGATTACATTGGGTTCCATGGAAAATTTGGAACTTTAAATCAACGTGATATTGTTACTAGCACATCCTTGACTGTCGATGCAAGAATTTTACCTCTTGAATGCGTGGCGCTATGCAAGTTCTGTATCTTTGTAACTGCAATCAAATAGTTTCGAAGACTCCAAATGAAGACAATGTAGTGGTATCTATGGTTAGGCTCTGAAAAGACATACTTTTACTTAAATTTTGTAGATTTTATAACGGCTCTAATCAACGTAACAAAAAAACTCCTGATATGTGGAGGTTATTTTCTCTGGTGAGGAAAAAATACTCAAAAGTTTCAAAACATAAGTGAAACATGAACTTCCTGATATCGACTTAGCTCCCAATATGATAGCAATTTATGATATTAAGTCTAGCATGTAAAAACAAATTTTGAACTGTATGAGAGATTTGCACCAATCACTTTTCATATGATTTTATAAGTTGTGTAGATGGATCCAGAATTTAAATTTAATGGATTCAATTTTTAAGATTCTCAGTATTGAATTCATTGTACTATTAAAATTATGGGTTCATATTTAATATTTGTTACAAATTTAATAGGTTTTTTCATTTAAATTTGTATTCCGTATTTAAAATTATGAATTCAAATGAACCTGCCAAAAAGGCTACCTCCCCTGGCTGTGTTGTTGGTAAAGCTTCAAGTGAATGATTGAATATAGGGAATGTTGTGTACTTGTTTCATCGCCACATATCTCAGTCAGGTGCGAGAGTTGCCTTGGGATAAAAAATTGAGTGACTTATCATGTATTATTGCTCAAATTTTCCATTGCAATTGCAATTATTTTCACTTCAGTAAGAATCAAATTTCTGAGGTTTTAATAACTAATCACAATTGACTGTTTTCAATCATCCAAGAATTAAGCATGTGCACCTACATTCTGTTATGTGGATTCAATGTTGGCTTCTTTTGACATCAATCTATTCAAATGTTAAAAGTCATTTTCAATATTTGGGCCAAAACGGTCTTCAGTACAGTAGCCACATTGTCCGAATGCAGTTTATAGATTTGAAATTTGTAGCAATTATCCGGTAGTGTTAGTATGATACCTTTCTTATTTATAGTATGGCTTCTTTTCATCTTTTCTTTACATAAGACATATGCCTAAATTTGTCAATGGCTAATATTGGAGCCAAAGCATTCTAGCTTGGAGCCAAAGAATAAAAATATTTTTTTTTTCTTTATTTGAGGACCAAAACCTTTGCCCTATAAATATAAGTCATCTTACATCATTTGAAACATCCGATATTTTGATTAGAAACTCATTATGAGTATTCTTGTAATAGAGAGTTTCGTTATATTTCATAGAGTTAGTGTTGGGAAACACTTTGAGTGAACCTCTTCTTTTGTGAGTGATTGTAGCGAGGTTATTCTCTTGGGATATATTTTGGGGTAACCAAAGTTTCATCTCAAATTTTATACTCTCTTTTGTGTATCGATTGTTATAGTGAAATTGCTCTTCTTCGCTTGTGAATGTAGAGTCGCCTTGACCGAACCACGTTAAATTTTTTGTCTTCTATATCTTCTTTAATTATCTTTATTATCAACTTACATGGTCTTTGTCATTGTCATTATAACATTGTTTGGCTAAATCCCGCACCACCCAAGTTCCCGATCCTAACACTTTAGTCGAGGGTATATCGGAAACAACCTATTTGCCCTTCAAGGTTAGGGGTAAGATCTACGTACACACTACCAGTGAAAAAAAATAAAGTTAATTTTTTGGAATAATATAGAATTCTCTAGAATGTCCTAGTTTAATATCCTTGATATTTATCTAGTGGACATAGCTAGATGTTCTAGAATGTTGTGGGAAGATAAGACATATCAAGATATTCTAGAGTGTTGTTAGAAGATAAGGTTGTTAGAATTTTCTTTGTACATTATCTAGAATCATATCTAGTATCAACCATAGGCTAGCATAAATAGGGGGTATCTTGCTCATTTGTAAGCAAGCCAAAATCAAGAAAGCTTTCTTTCCTAAATAAGTTCTCCTATCTAAAATTTTTCTTCTCTTTTCAAGGTTCCTTTTCTTTAGTTGAATCCTCCAATCTTGGTTAACGATCTTAGGCTAGCAGAAAGTCTCCGAATAATACTCTTCTTCTGCTATTCTTTACATGGTATCAGAGCCTCAAGTCGGCTTCTGGATTTCAAGGTCGGGTTAGTGGTTGATTCAACTGGTTTCTCAAAATGGATTTGGGTGGTCGTGCTAATGGACCGGGGATTGAGTTATTGAACCAGTCCAACTACAAGGTATGGAAGACTTGTATGGAGTCATACCTTGTTGGTGAGGATTTGTGGAAAGTTGTCAATGGGAGTAGCACAAGTCCTCCTGTTGGCGCATCGAAAAATAGCAATGCACGGAAGAAGTGGAAGCAGATTAATGCTAAGGCGGAGTTTATCCTAAAGAGGTTCATCTCTTATATTTTAATAGATCATATTATAAGGTGTAAATCAGCTCATGAAATATGGAGGACCTTCGATCGGCTGTTCAACAAGAAGGATGAAGCTCGGCTACAGATTTTGGAGAATGAGTTAGCTAACACCACTCAAGGTAATCTCTCGATCGCCGAGTATTTGTTGAAGGTTAAAAATCTGTGTTTTGAAATTTCTCTATAGAATCCGGACGAGGCTATCTCTGAAGCACGAATAAGAAGAATTATTATTCGTGGCTTAAAGCC